TAACTTTGACCTTTTGTGGATAGTATGAGTATGACCTTGATCTCTATTTCTTTTGGAGCAAGTATAAAAAAAACTACCATTATTTTGCACTGAAAATGTTATTCTATTGTCTGAAAAAGGGTGTGTATTACGATTGAGGCATCAAAAACCTATTATCAAAATTAAGTTCTTGAATCATGACAACACTTGCCCATAGACTTACTCTTAGCAACACCACTTTGGTCGGGTTTTTGAGGATCTCTGTAAGAGGGTTCGCTTCAGTCTTTTTGGAGGCATCTAGTGCTGCTGCTGAAAAAACAAAGATATATATTATGTTGAAAATATTCACTCTTATGATCAACACACCAGTAAAATATTCCACACAAATGTATTAAAACAACAAACATCAACAATGTTCTACTCTATGAAGAATATTTTAGGGACATTATAGTTAAATTGAATTGTTTACATAAATTCAGAGATTTGCCCCCTTTTGGGTTTGTGCTCATTTAGAGCTACTTAAAGTCATGGTAATCCCTTTAGACCAGACAAATTTAGTCCTACTTTAGATCTTTGATTTAAACAAGGCTTATATAATATTTAATAATACATAAATATATAATCATAAAATATATTTTGAATTCTACTCTAGATTCTACTGCATTTAATGGCTTGTACATGCTTGTTCATGTGGTTCTGTAAGGACATCTAGTGGCTAGAAGCAAAAGACCTGATGTCTCTATATTGTTTATGACCACCAAGTTTTCCACAGTTATTTTTCAAATGAGACATTTAAGGTTAAATGCAGTGATGGTGTAATTTGAAACTCAATCATTTTCTTAAGTGGTATTTGGTGTGGAAAGTTTAAGAAATCATGAAAAAGAAGAATAATAAGCATTCAATTTGGACACTGGTTTGTTTCAATACTGCAAACTACACACATCACCTAAGATTACACAGTTATAAATGAAATCTATGAGGGGAATGTGGTACTGGGCTGGCCATTCACACTGTTATCTATTGGAGAGTGTTAAGATTAGCAGGGAAGAAAGCCATGCAAACACACAAACACACAATCAGAGAGAAAAAGTCGAACCTGAAAAACTTGAAGTGTCGGCTGCCAGACTGGAGCCTGCTGTTAACAACCACAATGTAAAGAAATACACAGACATGCATACAACATCACAGAAATACAAGAACATAATCCACCAAAACAACAGGGCTGGGAGAAACAAATCAGACATAGCATTAGCCCTACCACCAATTTTGGTAGCTGTCCACTGCAAAGTGGAATAGCTTTCTTAAAGGCTGTGTCATAACATTGATTTGATCAATTAATGCACCTTACTATAGTTTCTTTCGGGAGATCACGCTAACAAGGTAACACCATGGCACCCAAAAGATAGTACCTTTAGGAGGTAAATAAAGCCATAGTTTTTCATACTTTATTGTGGTGGGTTTAATACACCTGTAACTCTTGCAGAGCTTAACAGATGTTGATCAATAGGTGGAGCAGTTGGCGAAAGTAGATGGCATGTATCATCCATTGTATAAGATAAAGGCCTAAATGTATATCATGATGTAAAAGAAAACACCAATTTAAATGTAATGCGAGAAGCAGAACATAGGATCATTGTCAAATAAAGTTGGTGCCTCAATACTTTAATTATAAACAATATTTATATTGACATTGCTTAATAGTGTCTTCTTACTATGTGTCTTCTTACTATGCTATCTCCCAGCCCACTAAGACACTGTAAAATCACAAGGGCATACTGAATGCAAAAGTAAGTTTATATCACATAAGCAATTTAAAAAGAAAATATTGGTTAATGGACTGTTTGGGCAAAGACGGCAATGAGACTCACCTTTTTCAGCAGCATCTCCAATGATGATCTTGCCTCCTCTCTTACTGGTCTTCTCCACAGACAGCGCTGTGCTCAGACCTTGCTCATGTTTGCCCAGGCCCTGTCCCTCTTTAAAACCATACTTCTGCATGATCTTGTGGGCCACTGTGCCACTGTACAAGAAATATATGATTAATAATGACAACCTGTACATTTATATAGTTAAAGTAAATCATGCAATGTAAAAATTATACCCTTTTAGCATTAGCATGGTAACACATGACTTCATTTCACAGATTTAAATGTACAATTTTAGTTAAGATTGTTTGTTCTAACTGTTATGCTTGTAATTTTGATTTTGGAAACAGTCTGGCCAAGTAAAAAGCCGGGACTTTACTAACCCCATATTGGCCAGAAAGGAGCTAGTGGGTCCAGGAGGAGATCGTGGCCGGTCTGTGTCGTCGTACATGGGAGGAGGAATTGCCGCTTTTGGAGCTCGGGATGGTCGACTATCATCATCGTAAGAAAATGATGAGGGACCTAAAAACAACAACAATCAGAACCACTTCTGCTTTATAAACTACTTTGTTGGAGTATTTTTCTATTATGTATTAACACAATATTCCTACAAGACACTATATCCAAGTCATTTTAGAGGTTACAATAACTGGGAATCTTTAGGCCGTATTAATGCCAGTATAAGCACAGGATAAAATGTTAAAAATCGTTAAAAATGGGAAACTTACCTTCTCTTTCGATAAGGGATGAAGGAGGGGCAATGGCTGCTCCTCCCATACCTATAGAAAATATGAATTTCAATTGCCTATCTCAAAAAATATAACAACATTTAACAAATTTAACTGAGCTCAGCAGTGTATTAGGACTATGTTATAGATTTGGATTTCCACATACTGTTAAAATATGCAATTTTTTCATTCAAATTAGATTCCAATCAAAGGATTTGCCTGTTTTCACTTACTCCGTTTCCTCCTCTCCTTATCATACTCCTCTTCATCATCTGACTCGCCCTCTGCAGCCGGAAATCTGGAGAACCCACTAGGAGGACCACCAGTGTCATGTCTGTCTTTCCTCTTTCTACAATAAACACAAGTTCAAATTTTTATACTGTGCATATTGTATTTATTCCCTACATTTACCTGCACTTTTGATAGTGTATAAAGGATGGAAAAAATAAGTTGATAGTACTTCTCTCTCTCCTCCATCTCCTTCTGCCTCTCCTGCTCTCTCTGTTTTTGTCGTTCTTCTCTGTGCCGCTTCATCACTTTCTCATAGTCATTTGGAAACATGGGGTCATACTCATCGGCCAAAGGAATCAACACATCTCCAGATGAGAAGCCGCTGGGGGCCGGGTCCTGAAAATGTAAAATTAAATCAAGATGTAAAAATCCACATGAGTGAATATAAAATGTCACTATTCATTGTTTATTTTGTCTAAGCCTGTATTCTATTTAAATAATATTATTCATTCTTAATCAATTGATGAATTAATTGATAAAATGTATAATTTTAAATTTAAAGAATCTCTCTTTTTTCTGTTTTGGTTTTATTTCATTTCTTTTCTAGATGCATTTTTTTTTATGTAAAAGTACTCAGATGATACTAGATGATCTACTAATGACAATTTTAATTAAATTAATCACAGGCATCACATGCATTTTCACAAAACTGAAACATTCTACATAATGTCAGGATAAAGACCTTGAGCCCCGCAGCTGTGTGAGGGCCACTGTCAAGAATCTGCCGGTCTTCGCTGGAGCCTCCTCTCTTTAGGTCAATGACAGGTGCCAATACAGTGGTCTGTTTTGTTCGCTGTGACTGTAGCAACGCATGAAATCATCAAAATATTAAATAACATACCAACTTTGTATAACAACAAATGAAATAAAATGAAAATTTATAATAAAACATAAAGGGAAGTATAAATCACCTTGGCTTGAGTGAGAGCTGCTTTCTTCACTTTGAGCTGAGACTGGAGCAGTTTGAAGTTCTTGGACCATCCTTCTGTTTTAGTGTCACTCGCCCCAACACCGAGGTCATCGTACAGTGACATTATGGTGTGTCACGTTTTTGTACTCTAAACAACAAATACATTGAAGAAAATAATCTATTAGACATTAATCGTGTTTTGAAAACCCATTCTATTTTCTTCTGTATTGAAAAAGTGCCGAGTAATAGTATGTTACTAGTATGTTACTAGCATGTTACCAGCATGTTACCAGCATATTACCAGCATATTACCAGCATGTTATCAGCATGTTATGGAGAACAATGTTAGGTCTTGTGGCTAAACTCGCGACCTTGCCTATGTTTGTTGTAATTAATCCACAACCCCGACCCTCATCCTCATCCTGACCTTAAACAACCCTACAACCCTTCAAAGGTGGGACCATAGAACTGTGGTAACATTGAGAGACTCCCTAAAATCATGAAGTCCCTTAACATATAAACAAAAGCGCAGTGCAAACAAATGAATGAACCATGAGAAGCATTGTCAAGTCTGCCTACCACATTCTAATCAACACTGACATCCAACTATATGCGTTTACCATTCAATGTATGTCATTTTAGGAGGTTTTATAGTGTGGTAATTACTAATACTTCAGTGTTAAGACGTATATCATCTACAAAACCTGATTATATTTCAATCAGAACCAGCAAAAGAAGATTAGCATTAGCATAGGTAACGATAGCATGCGTCTCTAAACGAAGCCAACATCATCTACGCAGAAGTCTTTTTTTAGACAAATGTAATTAAATGCAAACCACACTTTGCAGTTAAACCTACCGATCTTAAAAATAGAGCACGATGATAGAAAAAGCAAGAAATAGTTAATCACACATTTGATACAGCTCTTTTCTCTGGTCGACGGAAGTGGAGCAAAAACACAACAAGCCAGCGCAGGGGACTGCGGGGATAAGTTACCACAGTTACCACAGCGCCATCTAGCGGTTGGGTGGCTTTCATTTTCTATAATTCTTAAACTTTTACTTATAATACCACATGATAAAAAATAATAAGCAGTTATGAATAAACATTTACAGTATAGATTAAAATAATGATAATAAATAAATAAATAAATAAATAAATAAACAAACGTGACCGCCCCTCCTCCTCCTTTAAAAGGAGCGTTTACAGTACAAACAAGTGGGAGTGAAAGCGAAAGTCCAATATGATAGTGTTGGTGTGGAAAGAGGAATTCACGGAGCGAGAATGGTCTCCACGGCACAGTACTTGGGCGGCAGCAATGGTTTGACTCAACTTCTCGCTCAGCTCAAATGGATCCACGCGTATTGGGACCTCGGGTGTGCATAAAACGTGCCTTTCTTGGAATTTACCTGCTGCTGGGATCTACGTGTTACTCTCAGACCGGTGAGATGAGCTACCTGTCAAATTACATGGAGATGATTGCGAAGTACAAATTATTGCGACAAAAATGACGCAGTTGTATAGTAATCTGTAGACAATATCAGCAATTTTTGAAAATATTCGGGGCTTTTTTTAATTTAAAGTTGTGTTCTTTGGTCGCAAACTATTTTTATTGGATCTATTTAAAAATGGCTTCGTTTTTATTAGCCTAATTCAAGGACAACGTTATACTGTGCAAAGGATAAGCTTTTTGTTGACTATAGGTCTTCTATTCACTTTACAATCCAAGCACATAGTTTGTTTATTATGTACCGTAGGGAGACTATTCATATTAATCGAGATAATCTAAAAAAAAAAACTTATCAAGCACACCTCAGTCCTCTAGTCACAACCCAAAATGATAAAAAAAAGATTTTTCTCCTTAGCAATTCCAGTACTCCTATTGTTAAATGAATGGTTCAATCTAAATATCTCTCATATTGTCTTTCTCTTGCAAGAGCAATTATGTAGTACAAGATGTGCCTCCTACAATACAACTGCACCACCTAATCTGATTCATCCTCACTATATTTCCACAAAAAACATTCAATAATAATGATATATACTGAGAAGAGGTTCTATCATAATGTAAATGTCAAAAGAGTGTCAAAGAGAGTAGCCTGTATGTTTTGCTTTCGATGAAAAAACCTTCCTGGTGGTCTGTATATGCTTCAGTTACATTTCTGTGTCCCTCAGCCTGATTATCACTTTGCACTGATGTATTTTTGTTCACTTTTTTCTGTAGCAAACACCAGCTGTACTTGCGGAGGTGAGCCTATCCCTCCGCAACCCAAGACTGAGACCCCAGATTGCTCCCAGATGAAAGACCAGAGATTTCGTTACACATGTATCGAGGGATATGTGAGGAAAGCAGGGAGCTCCAATCTTATCCGGTGTAAAGACAACAAGTGGTCTGACTACAGACTTGTGTGTATAGGTAACTTTCTGGCTTAATGTCTTTCATTTAACTTAAAGGTGCAGATTAATGTTTCTGGTGGAGGGTCTGCCATCTGCTTGACTCAATGTGAGATGAGTTATTCCTTTGCCAGGAATGTTCCACAGAATGGCATTAAAATAATATATCTTTTAATACCTTCATAAACACAAATTCTGTGAGTAGGGTTGTCTCTCCATAGATCTAACCTCTAATTTGGCCTACTGCCATCACTTGCTGGTCTCCATGGCAAATGATAAGCCATTCTTTTACATACATGTAACTTTATGCTCAAATATTGACACTTTCCCACCCACTTCTCCTATGCTCCGTTCATGTGGTCCTTGGGAACTCAGAATTCCGAGATGTTGGGGTTCCGACTTGTTTGCATTCTTGTGCTTTTATCTCTGAAAACATTTTATCACCATCATTAAAATGCTGTTAATGAGTGAGTTCATTAACAGCATTTTATTGATTTAAAATAGATAACCAGTAAGCGAAGAGTTGTTGTTACTACTAACTTTCTAAATGTTAGTAGGTTATTTGTTTAGAAAATGCTACTTTGCTAAAATTCTCAAATGTGATTTTGGTTCATCTTCTCAGAGCAGGTGTCGTCAAGTGTGGAACTTGGGCGGATGGTTTTGGTTTAGTTCTAGAGTTCATGTGTATTTGTCAACTCGATTGCTCAACAAAAACATTTTCCAAAGCCTCCGCAGATCACATGAATGCAGCATCATGCTCAGAGTGAGTCTTGTAACCAGACAGCTTCAGTTGATTCTTACCAAGACAATATAAAATCCTGATTAAATCCAAATTGTAGTTTTGACTCTCAGAAAATTTAATTGTGATATTGTCTTTCCTAACTGCACTGGTATTTCATTTATTGTTTCAAAATGAACTATATTTTCCACCTTCAGTGTTTGGATTAGGCATCTAGTTCCCTCTGCTGAAAAACTGGATAGTCAAGTATTCTGAAATAGTCAAAGAGGAGCACTGTTTTCAGCAACATGGTGCAAACAGATAAATGTCTAATCATACCAAGTTTGGAAAAATTGTAATTATGAAATGTGTGGAAGCTGAGACAAGTGGTTTTGATCCCTTGGTAATTGTACAGTAATATGTTTCTACAAAAGCATATGGTTCTTGACAAGGACTATATAAAGCCTGAGACATGATGCCCTCAAGAGAAAGTAGATCAGGGAAAGATATTAATAGATAAAACCAGATGACTGATGTCAAACTGTGAGGATATGAGACATGTTAAAAAAATAACCTCTTGGTTTATTCTTCTTTCTAAAGATAAACTCTAATTGTGATTTTATTCTACAGTAGATCCACGGAACCCTCCACCAAAAACAACACCAGTAAGCACTAGTAAGTCTTTTGTTTTGTTAGTAAATCCACATAAATGTATGGTTTAAGGACTTTTCTAATATTTATACTAGAAATGGACCCATATGTTTTTTTTTCATAGCCTATACCATTTAGAATACAGAGAACCCGATGGCCAGTCTGCCAATATTTTTGGGACAATATGTCTTTTTACCACAAACCTATAATCTCTTTGTATTAAAATGTTAATATAAAGCTTTGTGTGTATTTCTTAGGGAGCAGATACACCAAAACAAAATACTGGCTTGTGCTGGAGATTTAAAAACACACAAAATCTACTCTTGTGAGATTTAAGCCATGGTAAAATGCAGTTACCTCATCAAAAACCTGGAGTTGTGTTTTGTTTTATTCACACATGTTTGAGTATTTCTTTATTATTATTATTATCATTATTATTATTATTATTATTATATTATTATTATTATTATTATTATTATTATTATTATTATCACATGACATCACAAGGTGGAACAAAGTGTTTTTCATTTAGAGAAGAATGCAGCCTAAATATGCAGGGTTTGTGTGAATGAAACAAAACACAACATTGTAACATAAATATGTAAATAGTGTAATATGGGCCCAAAAAAGTCAAATATTGGTCTGTTATGTCAGTCTAGTAGTAGTAGTAGTAATAGTAGTGAGCTCTACTTTACTACTGATGAGAAGGGGTATAAATAGTTGGAAGGCCTTTTGACACATACTATTAAATAACAAGTTTCTACTTTCTGCTTGACAACTTTCAATAACACATTCCAATAAAACATGTCTTAGCAGGAGCCCACTATCAAAGAAATAATCTCATGTGATAACCACAAAGAAATACATTTGTACTTATGTCAACTTGTCAGACAGGTATGAGAAAATATAACTGAAGCTACAGCAGGACAACAGTAGTAGCAGTGTTGGTAATAATAGTAGTAGTAGTATTGATGGTATTAGTCAAACAGTTAAGCAAGCCATCATCTTACAATACACACCAAAATCAACAATTTGCTTCTTAGGATATCTTTTGTTACTTCCTTTAGCCCTTTCTAATAATAGAATGTTAACAAATATGTTGATGTTTCTTTACAAAGATATTGTGTCAGATATCAAATTAGGATTAAGTTTAACGTAACACTGTTCCACCCATCCCTGAGGCTCCTTCACACACACAGACTCAATAAACAACACCAGCACCAAAAAAAAACAAAACAATAAAATAAAATAAAATTCTAAGATCACAAATTTAATACTGAACATTATTTTGGTTTTGGTTTAAGTTCAAGTCATTTAATTTCCAGAGAAGGTTCTACAGTTGTCTAAAGTATCGAAAATCAGATACTAATCAATACTAAAACCAACCTAGATACTCATTTCAACAAGTGTCAATATCAAAAAAGTCACATTCACAGGACAGAAATTAGCCTTTCCTGAAGAGCTTTAGAAAGAATAAGTACAAGGCCACATAGAGTAGTGTACGCCCATTGACCTCTACAGAGCTTACCTGGACGACTGAGGGATACGCAGACATAAGGCCACATTACACACTTTAATGTTGAAAATGATATTCTATTGTCTAAATAAAGTGTTTTGTTTTTTGTTTTTAATCATTGTAGTGTCACAAGTATTGAGTCTAAACTGATCAGTAAGTCATAAAACAAAAAACTGATAGAAGTTGGATTTTAACTCTAGCATCTGAAACCTGAATGTTACTAAAATGTTTCAATGTTCAGGAAATATAAAACTGTGTAAAAGCCATCAGTAACATATTGAAGCTTTTACTGCTGAAATCCATCTCTTTGTTTAGAAAATCACAGGTTCATTTACTCTTCGCTATCCCATTTGCAGATTGTTTACTGATGTGTATCAATTTCCTGAAAGCTTTGCTCAACCTTTTAATCTCATTACAGATCTGTAATGTAATATGTATTATTCTGTATTTTGTAAAGTTGTGCAAATATAGCACAGCAAACAACTGCCACACATCTCACCTCTATCAGCTAATGTTCCCTTAAATGTCAACATTATCAGAAATGAAGGCAGAATTTTGTGTAGTGTAAATGTTGATGAAACCAGTATCAGTGAGTGTGAAGAAGCAGATAACTTTAGTTAGCAGGGTCTTCATTCGTAATTAAATAAAAATGAACCCTTATTTAGCCAAATCATGATACACGTTTAGGGATGTTATTATATAATTCACCCCCATTTAACATTGTATTGTTTATAGTGATTTTACAAAAGGTTAAATAATAAAATCTCAACATATTAGCCTCTACCTCTCATCTTTACTTTACATTTAAATTAAAAGATGTTAGAATGTGTTTTGCCGTATGTTTCTGTAGCACTGCATGCCGTAAGTTTTGGTAGCACTGTATAGTTATTTGATTTGGAGCACTCTGACTGATTGACCTAACTCTAAACCTCCATGCTGAAAGGCAATGGCCTTAGGGTTGCATGCATGGTGTGATAAACCATTCTGGCAGTGTCTGTTTTAATATGATTAAAATACCATCACTGCACATAGTTGTCAGTTCATTTTGAGTCCATTTATTGTGTCCTGATATTGTGTATGCTGGAGTCATGTTTCATTCTCGGCCCATTACAGACATTACAGATCAGGCTCTGACTCAAAGTCCATCTCCTACAATGTCAAGAAGAAAAATAGTTTCTGATTTATCTCAACATAATAAAAAACACATGCATTAAAGAAACAAACAAAAAAAACAGAATCTTGTTTTTAGTTTTGACTTATTTTGCTGTAGTACTGAAACCTGTAATTTGAAAAACATTTGTGTTTTGTTTTGTTGTTTTTGTTTTCTGTCCAGCCCTGTCTAAAATGATTCAGGCAAAGTCATATTTAATTGTGTTATTTTTAGTAACGATATTTGATCAAATGAATATTTTGTTTTTATATTAGTTTTAGTATGGATTTATATCTTTGTATCGATCCTTTTGACAGCCCTAGCTTTTGTTTCTTGACCCGTATGACTACTATGATGTGGTAAGAGAATGTAATGAAAAATACTCAAGTATTTCTGAAGAGAATGAAGTAATTCTGAAGGGAATGATGTGACTTTGGTGGAAACTTTAAGTGGCTGAGTTAATTATTGGTCAGAAAGGTTGGTTCATTGAATGTTTATATCTGAGAACTAATTATCATTCATTAATATTTAATGTTTCATATTTTTAGTTATTCACTATTTTGTTATTTTGTACTTGGATGTGTGCAATCTTTATTTTGTAAGCTACATATTTCTTGTAAAATTTATCCAGTGAGAGCAGCAGCTGCCACAGCATTGGCTGCTATTGTCACCTGCCAGATTTTTTGGCAATTGGCATTGCACCTGCCAGATATTTTGGCGTTTACATAGCCACTACTGATCCAGGCTACCTTCTGTGACATTTGCCAGGCTAGTTCAGTGAACCAAACCACTAAACAAATTAGAAATATTTCAGTCATCCAACACAATGAATATTTTTGCTGTCACTGTAACTCTGCTTTTTAGAACAAGATGATTATGCAAGATGAGTTACACATTATGATGTGTAACTCATCATTATGATGTGTAACTCAACAATGTTAACCCTTATTTGTCCAAGGCAAATGTAAACACATATGAAAAATCTCACAAGACCATTTCCACATGTTTTTTTATTTACTTAAATGTATTGGTTTTGTTCTTTTTTAGAACCTCCCACATCAGCTGTGACTCCAAATATCATCTCCTCAACAGCAGATCTGGAGACCACCTCCACTGCCCCTCCTCCATGGCACACTACAGGTAAAGTCTGTCTTATAATAGCCTGAGGTTATCTGTCCTGGTGAAACATTAAACCATCACATCCAGCTCATACATTGCTCATAATTGTATAGGTTTGTCCTGTTTTTCGCTGAGCTGAACACAATGAGATGATAGAAATTAAACAATAATTCTCTCTATCTGTGTCCTGGGTTTGCATGTACTTTAGAAATAATAGCTTAACCAAAGTGTACCTTAAGTTAATAATAATCAGAATAGTGCAACATTTTAGTGGGAAGTGATCTATGTATTAGACAGTGACTTGATTTTACAGCTGTTTGGTAATGGTGTCAATAATCACAAATAATTATAATGATAATCCTAAGGGTTTAATCGTAATAGTTTCACAAAATTTTGATATTGATATATTCTCAAGTTGTTATGTCTAGCAAAACTATATTTTTGCACCTGTTCAGGGCTGCTGGCCTTTGTGGCCAGTATGCCGTTTTGTGTGTGTTAGAGTATGTCTGTCAAGTCTCTGTACTTGACTCTGTAAAAGAGGCCCTAGTTTGTGTTTAATATGACTCTTGTTTTCTGTCACTGTGGTGACTGTGTTTCTGTCAGTCAGTACTGACTTTGTGTTTGTTTATCAAGTCCTGTACTGTATAAACCATGTTGGTTTTTGTTACCTCTCTGATCCTAGCAGAGCTGGGTCATAATAAATTGGGGGCTCATCTGATATCATAACACCCTGTCCCACAGTTATGAATTGGTAATGGTTATGCAATAGGTTTGAATTTGGTACATTTTTTAATTGGCTTGTAAAAATTGTTAATGGTGTATGATGATTGGATGGTGGAAAGTTTGCTAATTTTGTCTGTGACAAATGTGTAGTATCAGCTGTGTTATTATGTCTGTCTGTACCTAGCAGAGCTGGATCGTAACAATGGGTTTGAACTCAGCCATGTGCTATTTTGGAGATACATTAAGGAAATGTCTCATTGTTGTTTTTCTTTCCTGTGTGTTTTCAGACGGCTCATTACAAACCACAACACTATCACGGAGCAGCACAAGTGAGTTCATCTTTCAAATGGATTGATCAATACACATTTCACAGTTCTCTCTCAATACATTTACCATAAGGGCAATATTATCAGACCTTTGTAGATTATAGTAACTGAGTGCCAGAAGCCGGCGAAATGCTTCTTAGTATCACTTAGGAATGTGTGGGTGATTTCCACAAATGTATGTGGAACATTGTTCTCGTATCAGAAACTTTTTCTCCTAACCAACTCATGAAATTTGACATACACTTCCCCAGGGGTCAGCCACATTGGATTAAACTTTACAAGGCATTTTTTGTAAACGTTGTACTTTTACGACCTCCTCCAAGGTCATTCACCCCAACAGGCTCAAATTTTGGTTCACATTATCACAAGTGGTGGGGCATCATAATGCATCCAGCTTTTTTGACACACGTTTTACAAATCTTCAGTCATTTCACTAAGTGTTGTTATTGATATATTCTCAAGACTGTTTTGTTATGCCAATCAAAATTGTCTGTCCATGGGTTTGAACTCACAGCCATGTTCTATTTTGGAGATACATTAAGGAAATGTCTCACTGTTTGTCTTTTCCTGTGTGTTTTCAGAGGGCTCATTAAAAACCACAACACTATCACAGAACAGCACAAGTGAGTTCATCTTTCAAATGGATTGATCAATACACATTTCACAGGTCTCTCTTAATATATTTACCATAAGGGCAATGTTATCAAACCTTTGTAGATAATTTTCATAGTATTTTAATTTAACTATTGGTGTTGCAAGTAGGCCTGTCACAATAACACATTTTGAAGCATGATATATTGCTACAGAGAAATATTACGGTAAAGTATGTTACTGAAACTTCTTTATGTATCAATAAAAGTTCTGAGCTGCAGCAAATAAATAGCAGAATGAAGCAGTAATTACTCACAGAAGTTATTTATTCTATCCTCTTGAGCCCAAATCCTATCATGGTACAGAAAAATTGTGAAAATCTCCCCAATATTGCAAAGAAAAAGTACACATGATAAATACTGAGCCCGAAAAATTAATGTTCCAATTAGGGGTGTCAAATTATCGCGTTAATTGCGATTAATTAATTACAGTCATATTTAGCGCGTTATGTTTTTTAATCGCGTTAATCTCATTTTTAATCTCTAACTTTAGTGTTTCTGTATGCGAGTTGCTTTATTATAAAATCTGTTTTTATGTGTTGTTGGGACAACAACACACAAAATAAAAACACATTTATAATTTTTTTTATTTCGGTAATTCCACTCATTGCCGGAAACCCACACAAAACGCGCGCAGTAAGAGCGACGTAAACGTCATATTCACGTTCGCGGCGTCAGTCGCACAATGGACGAGAAGAGCCAGTAGAACAGAGCAGCAGTGCACAGGTTAAAACACATTCGTGTCTTGGAAATTCTTCTTACGACGTGAAATATAAAAGAAAATAACAAATATAAAATCGCCTACAACTTAAATGTCACTGGTGAAAACAACCTGCATAGACTCATGATGTCTGCACTACTGTCCTATAGTGACCTGCCACATGAGGGGACACGCACACAAAAACACACACAAACACAAACACACACACAAACAAACACACACCTTCATCATCGTCATTAACCTGAGAACGCGCGGACCACGTTTCCTTCCGTAGTTACTGCGCGGACACCGCTGTCCTCCCGTGCGCCGCGTACGTTTTCTTGCGTACGCTGCGTAAACCGCGCTTCCTCCTGTGCGCCTCTAAACCAGAACTAACACCAAGACTAAAACAGGGACTAACCCAGTCCAGGACTAAATCAGGTCGAAACCAGGACTAAACCAGGTCTAAACCAGGTCTAAACCAGATCTAAACCAGGTCTAACCAAGGTCTAAAACCAGGACTAAACCAGGTCTAAACCAGGTCTAAACCAGATCTAAACCAGGTCTAACCAAGGTCTAAAACCAGGACTAAACCAGGTCTAAACCAGGTCTAAACCAGATCTAAACCAGGTCTAACCAAGGTCTAAAACCAGGACTAAACCAGAACTAAAACCAGGTCTAAACCAGGTCTAAACCAGGACTAAACCAGAACTAACACCAGGACTAAAACCAGGACTAACTCATTCCAGGACTAAACTAGGACTAAAGTAGGACTAAAGCAGGTCTAAACCAGGACTAAAACCAGTGATCTCATATATAAAGCATTTCTCTATCAATAATATTTATAATATGGTTAAGGAAAGACTGGACTTTTTATTGTCTTTAAGTAGACAAAAGTTATTATGTTCAGATTTCCTCGTCTTTGCTACTTTACAGCAAACAGTTTCTTATTCATTAAGACTTGGGCTCAACAGCCAAATTGGAGAGATTTGTTAAACAATAAATGACTTTATAAAGTCACTTTTTTTAATCTATATCAGTCTTTTGATCTGCCACAATAATGTAATAATGAATTTAAATGAAAATACCTCAAATTGAAGGCTTTTCTCAGCAATTTTTAGGTGAGATTAAAAATAGATTAATTAGATTAATTAATTACAGATCATAATTAATTAATCTCTCAATTTTTTTAATCGCATGACAGCACTAGTTCCAATTTTCATATATTGAACGATAAGTCGATATTGTAATTATCGTGACACTCATAGTTGCAATAGATTTGAAAAACTAAATTAATGTCCTTTATTTATTTAATATAATGTGGCTACAGAAGGTTTCATCTGGACACTGTTTTTTCTATAACACATAAGAGTGTCCATATGACTAAAAATGAAACCTTTGTACTGAACCACTCTTGGATGAACAAAGGATTATGCTGTTTCCTTGATTCATCTAAGCCTCGATTATTATCTGAAGATGACACCAATGAAATTAGTGTGATATGAAATTCCCATCATATCACAAATTAAAGCCTCAGTATGTAACTTTTTTTTTTTTGCTTAAAGAGACCAAAATTAAAGCTTTTTTTTTTTTTTTTTTTTCATTATGGATGATTTTATGGCACTGAAAAACAGAACAGGCTTGGCTCAGAGAAACGTTAAAGTCTCCTCCCACCTGTTTGGAAATGTTTGGAACATTGAAAACATCAGTTAAACATATTTCAGTTAAACTAAACCACCTGTTGATTTAGCTGTTTTAGTTTAGTTTAGTTTAGTTCTGAAGTATGTTTTATTTATTTATTTCCAATCAATGTAATGTCCTGTCATCGTCATTTTTGCACTGTTTTCCTTATGACCTCTTGTATATAGCTGAGATATATTTTTATTATTATATTGTTATATTTTATTTTTACTTGTACATATGTTTATATAATTATGCCTTATTTGACACCAGTCACTTGCTATTTCTGCTATAGTTATTTAGAATCTATGATACCATTTCTCTTTTATTATAATATGCTGTGGATCAATAAAGTTTGTCTAAATCTAAGGAATCACTCCCAGAAAAGCTACATACTTTCACTTTAAGAAGTATCCACATTTTCAATCACTATTGGTGGACAAATCAGGGACTCACAAACAAAGACAAAGACAAGTACATAGACATGCAATGTTTACTCTCACATTCGTTTACAAGAGGACACGCACAACATCACGACTCCACCACCAGTTTAAATATTACTTTGTTTTGTTCTTTTGCAGCATCTCCCACTTACGCTGTCGTCTCCTCCAGTACCACCTCTACCATCGCCCCTCCACACCACAGTTCAGGTAACATGTGAACACGTCTCCACAGGCCTGACCTGTAACTTGGCCTGGTGGCGTCTCTATGGAGATTCATAACTTTAATTATATGCTGTGGAAAATTCTAGGGAAAGCAGTAACATTTTCAAGAGATAAGCAGGTGGCTTTATCAGTCTTGAATCTTTGTGTTATTTTAACATTATCTGACTATAAAGAACCAATTTAACTGGAAGTGGAACAGGTGAGATGATCCGTGCTCTTAAACAAGTCTCTTACACATATAATTGCAGTCACAAGCTAGCCAATATAATAACAATGTGTTCGTCCATTTACTTTTTCTTCTTTGTTTGTGTGCATTGTGTCACCATGGTAACTCCTAAACACCCCCAGCAAAATATAGATTCTGTTGATCACCTCTGTACTTTTGAGCCTGGTGTCTGGGAAAACAATCTGGAAATCTTCACGCCACACATCACACATATACTTGTTCTCTGAGACCCTTTTTACGAGAGATTCATGTAATAATGAAATTGCAGGAAAAGCATTTCCCCATATCAGTTTCCCCTTTACTGTGAAATACGTGAAAGACTGGGACTGGAGAGAGACAGTTTGGATAAGAACTGTCAGAACATTTTTTTTTTTTTTTACTTGTAGAACTGGACTGAGTCTGAGTCAGAGGGAGACAGGATGCACAAGTCAAAACAAATCAAAACTACATACAGTGTACATAAAGATAATAATGGTCCCCAATCTATTCAAAGGAAGCAGGCTACACTAATGTAAATAGTGACTGAGACTCCTCGGGTCCTGGTTTAGATGTGGGGAGAGGTCCTCTAGTGCTACAGCTTATAAAAAGCATTAAAAAGCCTGTCTTTGTATATCTTCTAGATGTTTGGTAAAATGTTTGTTATTTTGGCTTCAATTTTATGTATGTATTTACCTATTTTTTTGTGTTAAGACCTGTCTTGACAGTGAATTCCTCCATTGTGACATAACTACATAACAGCAGGTCTATCATTTGCAACGTAATCACTGTGCACTGTACAATGGTTAACAAGATATAGCACCGAAACTAGATACTCATTTGAACAAATACTGAAAATCATAACAATTATAGCTTTCCTGAATAAGTTTTGAATTGTGTTTTATATCAACATAAGTAAAATGGCCACATAGTAACATTCAAGGAACTGTTGCACTGGAAATTACATTTTACTTTTATTATAACTTTTATTGTCATCTTTTTCTCTGCATCTCTATTTTAAGGAAAACCACACATATTCACAGGAACTTTGACCCTCCATCTATGGTCAAACATGTGTTAACTGTTCACAACTGACTTTTAACGGACAGAACAGAACAGAAGCACTGGTTCCTCATTCTCGTGTAGATAAAGGAACATGACCTCAGTCGGAAAGAATTCGTCGTCTCACAGGACTTCATAAATTGTTGAAGCAACAGAAAGCTAGAAAATCAAACCATGAAACAGTTGCTGGTTTAAATTATTAAACTTTATTAAAATTATTACATCATTATTATTATTAAAAGACAAGCATGATTTCACGATTTGTTTGGTCATGGTTTTTATAATTGTGAAAATCTGAAAATCGTGATGTTTCTTTTTGCAATAATTTTTACACTAGCATTTCATTGACTAATATAGGGAAGATAAAAACACTGAATCATATTGAGAAAAGTTAAACATAAAAGCTATTCTACATAGATGGGTCATGAAATTTTTCTTGAAGGTGGTGAGGTCTGTGCAGCCATGGAGTTGCGGAGATAGAGAATTCCAGAGGATGGATGTCACAATGGTGAAGGCTCCTCAGGTTGGGAGCTTGGTCCTGCAGCGGATGCAGTGGTGGAATGTAATGAAGTAAAAGTAGTAAAGTACTGTACTTAAGTAAAAGTTTTAGGTATCCGTACTTTCTGTAAGTAGACTTTAAAATGGATACTTTTTACTTTCACTACATTTGAGTGGGTATCTGTACTTTCTACTTTACTACATTTTTGAACAGGACTGAAAAGTAAAAGTATTTTTTATGATTGTGTTTGAGGCGCTTTAACACATTCATAATTTGAGCAAACTAAAATATAGCAATAAATATAATTATAATTAAAAATAACTAGAATAAAAAGATATTTATCAAAATCAGTACATTTATAGCTTTATTTGATCTCAAAAAAAAGTACAATTTTAAACTTTTACTTAAGTAGATTTTTCATGTAATACATTTCATGTTTTTTTTGCCCCAGTATCTATGCTTTTACTTAGGTAACAAAATTTAGTACTTCTTCCACCCCAAAGGGGAGGGACAGGAGGTGGAGGGAGCAGGATCAAGTGTGGGGTGGGGTGCAGCAGGTCTGAGAGGTAGGAGCAGTAGTGGATGAAGTATCCAGTTAAAGTGTCACATGAAAAAAATCTGCTTACCGTATTTTGCGGACTATAAGTCGCTCCGGAGTATAAGTAGCACCAGCCAAAAACTGCGGAATGAGGAAGAAAAAACATATATATAAGTCACACCGGACTATAAGTGGCACTTTTTGGGGAAATGTATTTTATAAAATCAGAGACCAAGAACCAACATTTCATCTTGAAAAGGAAGTTATAGTAATAACAACAGAATAGAGAACAACAGACTGAATAGGCGTTAATATGTTAACGTAACATATTAACAGTTATTCAGATAATTATAGGAAAAACAACATAATATAAATTTACCAAACTCACGATCTCACTCCAAATCACTAAATCAGTTGAATTCTTCATCCTCATCCGGCCCGGTTCCCGTGAAGCTGTGTTATCCACCCCCACTTTTTGCCAGTCTCTCACAAGTTTCTCACTCTCTCCAAACTTTCTTTCTGCTGCTCGATTACCATTTTCAGCTGCATATTTCACTATTTGCAGCAGGACAGTGGGCTTTTTCTACAGGAGGCATGTGCAGTAAAGTGCAAAGTGACAGTGGTACAGGAGTAATAGTAGTACCAGATACTGACACACAAGCCTAGAGCGCCCTCTCACGGCTGTCAGTCTGACAATTTTAATATATAAGTCGCATCGGAATATAAGACACAGGACCACTCAAACCATGGAAAAAAGTGTGACTTATAGTCCGAAAATGCGTTACATAAAACTGTTGAAGTACATGTTTAAAAATTTACTTTAAGAGTAAAAAGAAAGTATTTTGTAGAGATTTTTAGAACAATAAAGCATAAAATGTTGAGATTTTGATAAAGAATTTAGCAGATTTTAAGTTATTAGCTGTGTTTGTGTATTTTTGTGTATTTTTGTGTATTTGGTTTGCTCACAGTTGGGACGTTAACTCAAACTAAATGTGTTAAAAATAAGTTTGAGTAAGTTGAAGTTGATGAGGAGGACTTCAAAGTTGGTGCACTGAGGGATAGGGAGTGAGGGGAGGTTCTGGAGGAAAGGGATGATGTGTTTGTGGGATTGGGTGTGTGTGTGTGAGGAGGTGGACAGCAGAGTTTTGGATGTCTTGAGTGTTTTAGAGGGTGTGTAATCTAATCTGGAGGTGGTGAAAGCGTGGATACAATATTTTACAGTCAATGGTATGAACTTCTGTCGATTTATAGAATTTAAGTTTTTGATGTGAACAGTATATTCTGACCAAACAAAAAATGTGTTAATTTTTTTTTACATGTAAAACTGTTAAATGTATGAACATAATATATAATTTCAGATCAGAGGGGAACACTATCAACAGAGCACTAAAGCAAAGGGACAGATAACACATACTACTATGGTCCTGAGTCGCTGGTTTAATGGTCAGAAAGTAGTTAATAGCAAATTCCAATGTGTTAAAGGTGCTTTGTGTAACTCTTCTGGTGGAGGGTCCATCAAATGCTTTTCTCCATGGAGATGTTGTTACTTTGTCTGGAATGTTTTATAGTATGGCATTAAACCTTTCTATCTTCATGTAGACGAAATTACAGGTCAGATCTGTGGAGAGGCGGGCCTGGTCACAGTCAGAATGCCTGTTTTTTTAGATATTTTTGAGCTATAACACAACCTGTAATTCAGGTCATACTGTGGAATATTCCATAGAAACATGAAGGTAACAGACCGTCAAGCTGTAGTGACATACTGCAATTTTACAGCTACAAACTATATGTACAGTACTGTAAAAGTGGTGACCATTTGACCAGGATCTATTTTGGGCCAAACTTTCATGCTAAATTTGTTCTGTTAGACCAGGGACCAGCTTTTCCACCTTAAGCATCTGGTAAAAGTTAAGCAACTTCTTGCTTGACAACATTTTGACACAGTGATCCATAAACATCATAAGCACTCGGCTGTGTAACACATGCACTGTGGTTTGAGCCAGTCCTCTGTTGCTCGACGGCAGCTTGTCCAAAATGTGACTGCTCATCATTTAACTGGCATTTGAAAATATGAGCACAGATTTAAATAGTTTCATTTTAAACAATTTGTGGAGTATAAATTATGTTTATTGCTTATTTACTCTTAATATCAGTCCTTATATAATATAGTTACTTTTAAGACAATGGTTAACAAAGTGTAATTTTATGATGCCAATGTAGTTCCGGTTGTTTCTAGACTATGGAGGAGAATTTTAGACTATACGGGGCCAACATAGTCTCCTGTATTAATGGAAAACACTGCCCCCCATTTTATCCCCCCTTCACTGGCTATACCCAGTGTTTCCTCATCCAAAACATTCCTGGAGTTTTTTGTTGATTCATTCACACATGTTTAACACACAAACCCTTCATACTAAGGCAAAGTTGTTCTCTCAAATGGAAAACACACTGTTCCACCTTTTGATGTCATGTGGTAATACAGGAAGAGCTCCTGTGTGGTTTAAATGCCATACACCTGATAATTTCAGACCTGGAATTGCTCATCTCTACTGACCTAAAGGTAAAAGGTAGCACTTATTTTGAAAACTACCCCTTCATGACATCACAAGGTGGAACAGAGCATTTTGAGCTTTGGATATGTAGACCAACTAATAATGCGGGATTACTGAAACATTATGTGAATGAAACAAAACACAACTCCAGGTTGTGTGAGTGAGGTAACAACATTCTAACTTGGCTTAAAGCTCACAATAATAATGCGTGTAATATAGGACCTTTAAGTGTTTGAATGGTGTCGCCCTGCTGTACCTCTCTGATCTCCTCCATGCTTAGACTTCTGTGCAGTCTCTGAGCAGTTGGTTGAGCAGTTGAGGGGACCAGGGAATCTTAGAGGGGACCAGGCCTTTGCGCTGGCAGCACCAAAACAGTGTAATGAGCCGCCTTTGCACTTTAGACAAGCCTCTTTTGTACCTGTTTTAAATCTCTTTTTAAAACGCACTTTAGTCTGGCTTTTTTCAAAACTGGGACAAACCCAAGTTGGGATGACTGGTATAAATAAAATAGTGAAAATAGTGCGTAACATTGTCCATCCTTGACTCATCTGATAATTCATTTCTTGTTTTTTTGTTTTTTATTGTTTTATGCATTTGTTGTTTTTATTGTTTTTAATGGTTATTTTTGTAGCATTTTGGTCAACCTGTGTTATTTTTAAAGTGCATTATAGGTAAAGATGCAGATGTAGCTGCAGTTAACACAAGTGTAGCAGAAACATGTTTTTAGGGGTGGAGCTCTGTCCAAATAATTGAGGATGATTTTATAAGGCTGTTTCCATGATTTACAGTTCCTAGTAGCTATTTACTGTCTCAATGGTCCGGAGGCAGTTCATATGTAGGCTTACTTGTGATGCAGGTTTTTTAGAGCCATAGTGTGACTGAATTAGTTGGAAATACTCAACAGGAAACAGAGAACTTGAAAGTACGACAGCTGTTCTTTGGTACAAACAAGAAGAAGATGGTTTATACTTCAGCTACAGCAGGGTTTCCGAACTTTTTTCAACAAGGGGCCACATAGCAAAACATAGACGAAGCAGAGGGTCGAGAGAGGGCCAGAGACTGGTGCGCACTTTAGCGAATAATTGAAATATGTGCATTTTTAACTAGGGATGCACCAATCCAGTTTCTTCAGTTCCGATACCGATATTGATACTTTGGCTTTAAGTATCTGCCAATACCCGATATCAATCGATACTTTTAAACACAAACAGCATATGGTAAGAATTATTCAAAAGTGTTATGTAACTACAGTACAGCTTTGTAAAAATACAAGTTTAATATTCTGAGAACACTGGCCAGTAAATAATCTTCTTACTCCAATTTATACCAAAAAACCAGGTGAACACAATCCATCCAGTATTTCCTCTGGAAGGTCTTAGGGCCGTATCTTGCCCCCAGTCTCAGCGCTGGCGCAAGTGTGGGGTGTGGAGTTCTAAACGGAGGTGTGCAGTGCCTGAATATCAGGTGGAGTGAAGCAGACTGAGGGCGTGTTGTGCGTTAGTGAATTGCCAGAATCGTAAAAATAAATATAAAACGATTCCACTGAAAAACAACGTGTAACATGCTCAAAGTTTCTTTTATTTGGAAATATATTTAGGATGATAAATGCTTAACATTCATAATATGTCCGTGTGTTGTGCGGGAGTCATCCGGATGCCCTCCTGCAGCAGAGCACAGCCCCTCGCGCGCTCCCTGTATCGGCTCAGCTCTGCTCTAGAGTTTGTTTTGATCTGGATCTGTACAAAAGTTGCTCATTCACATGAGGCCGTTTACAGTGATGTCCTAAAGTCTGTTTTCTTACTCTGTCTCTGTCCTAATGCTGCGATGTCGATGTATTTACATTCTCGCGGCCGGACTCTGCGCGCGCATTCACTGACAGCTCGGGGCTGTGACAGCGGAGCAGACGCACGTATCGTATCTGTGCACAAACCTGTAACATCAGAAATATTTATACGACAATAAACGTATTCCATAATCCGCGAGACATCCACCTGTGTGGGACCAAATGCACTGGACACCAGTGAATGTGAGCGGTCAGCGGGAGCAGCAATAGACGCTTGTGCCTCAGGTGAGTCTGTGGGACTGGACGGCGAGACAGAGGGAGCGGGAGCGAGAAAGCAGCGGGTCTGTTATGGGATGGGAGCGCATGAGACAGACACTGGTCTTAAACGAACGCAGAGGAAACTATAAAAGGTTGATTTTTGCGCGCGTGCACGGGTTTACAGCGGTGCGCGTGCATGAGAGGGGCAGATATGCGCGCAAGTGTTCATAACACAAACCCGGTCAGGTCTGTCATGGCCCATACAAAATTGTATATTCCTTGCGCCTCTGCTGGTGTGTACTTGCATCGCGGGGCTCTGGAGCTGTTTTATTATATCAAGTTTATATATAACTTTCCCCTGCACTCCGCTTTGCTGTTTGATAATGAGGCAAAGACTGCAACCTTTACCCACATGGGCAGTGCTTTTAAATGCCACAGCGTTGACAGATTGGTTTAGATGCTGTCACCATATATGTACTTGTACCATCCCACTCCAGCCTCCAGCAGTGAAGTACACCCCACCTGGACACGCTCACTTGTGCTTTGCGCTAAGACTCGGGGCAAGATACGGCCCTTAGTGTTTGTTTCTCACTTTTAAAAGATGCACTGCAGACAGTCCGGGAATGACACGGAGACTGGGAACACTCCTATTAAAATATCAAAAATACAAGAATTTTCTGGATGTTTCCACTGACATTAACATTAGCATCAATGCATCATACACTGTAGTCACTGTAACTGTGTCTGCTATGCCACATGCTGCACTGCACACAAACACAGTCATAGCCACGTACTGTAGTTTTGTAGCCTTTTACTCTGCCGGCACTGTGTTGTCAGATTGTATGTCTATTGTTAAGTCTTTATAGGTATTTATCTTGATTTTGATCGCATGTTCTTATATAAAATATTATGGTTTTTGTATCCACAGACACACCAAGCACAGCTCCATCTTCAGTTCCACTGATCACTCATTCATCTTCAACCATCTCCTCTCCCATGACCAACCACGGTAAATCTAGCAGCATATCAATATCAACATACGTTTTTTTTTTCTTTTTTTTCCCGTTACAACCGTTGTATAACTGTTTGTATAATCAGTTTGTTTTGTATTCTTGCCTTGACTTGATCTTCTCTTGAAATAGTTGGTTTAGCAGGATGAGTCAGTGCGATTAGGTTAGGGAAAGGGTAATAACAAAAATAATATAACAAGTAAATTAACCAAGCAGATAATTATAATGTTAATAGTTTTTTTGTATTGAATTTGAGTGAAAATATTGAAATGTACTCTACTTAAAGGTACCGTCTGTAACTTTATTTGAAACTTATAGATTTGAAACTATTTGAACCCCCCCACCCGACCTTAGTTCAGACTTATGTGGTTTTCTTCTGTCAGGTCTAAATTGGCACAGCTTTAATACATGAACCCAAATATACTATGAATTAGATAAATAAATTCCCTATTCTATTAGAACTGTGTACATACAAACGTGCTGTTTAATTCTCACTAGACAATCAGCACTGTAGAACAGAGAAATATAAACATCAGTATAAACAACTGTACTAAAAAAATGTGAACTATAATAATTGATAACAGTAAAACCAGTATTCGTCAGACATTATTAAAAGAAAAAAAAAAACATGCAGAAAAAGTATAACAGATTGAAACGTATTATCAGCTTTTTTCAGTTGTTATCTTTCTCTGACAGGGTCCAGGACGACAGAAACAACTACATCTCCCAGCAGCCTCTCCAACAGCACTTTGCCCTATAAAGGGATAGACCTTGTGGCCACTACCGGTGAGGATAACTATTAAAACTACAGTCTACATTTTTCTATATTGTAGGAGGAAAATATTTCATGTTTCACTGAAGAGGCTTGGTCAGTTCTGTGGAAAGTGACTCATACCCCTATGAACTTACTCATACCAATTTAGTGCAACTTAAAAGGCTACAAAAAGCTGCAAAAAAAAAAAAAAAAAAAGCAGAGCAGATTAGAATAAAATTAAAACTTTAATCTCTCAATTAAAGCTAAAAGGGTATTTAAAAGTACACTATGTAACTTTTCTGGTGGAGGAAGATTATTTGCTGGTCTCTGTGGTTATTTTATTTCTTGGCCTTGAATGTTCCATAATATGGCATTAAACAGGTTACATGTCAGATACATGGAGAGGTTATATGCATGTTTCATGTATATTTTTTTTAATCACTAGATGGAAACAAGCAGATGGCAGGATCCCCAAACCACAGTTATATAGAGCACCTTTAATTGCATTGTCATTAACATTTTCAACACTATTTACATGCACATTTTAGCACGTTTAACACATACCATCACAATAAAAATAAGCAGTGAACTAGAATACATGTTTTTTCCAAATAAAATATATATATATTTTTATAAATTGCTATAAATTATAAAATATTACTGCAGCAGTTTAACAGTTATATACCACTGTTACCTATGCCAAGGCAGTTTATTATAATGAATACATCCTCTAGTTCAGGGAATGAATCTGATAAACTTGAATCTTGTTAAAATTGAATTGTTGGAATCAGAATTAAGTCTCATCATTCAGACCATTTTGTCATTTATTATTATTATTATTTTTTTTTTACCTTTTTCTTCCTTGTCTTGTCAGTCACACCACTTCTAATACTGCTCATCATCGTGGCGGCATGTGGCGCAGGCTTTTGGTTATACAAACAGTAAGTCATAATAAAACAATTATTGATCTGTGAGAATTGAGTTGGGACAAATTATTTAAAAAATGTCCATGTTGTTATTTACAGGAGATCAAGAAACAGAACTCACAAACCCCACACTGAATTAGAAATATCAATGGAGGAAACTGTACCCTTTCATCGCCAAAAAAATGGGGATGTGTAAGGCTGTTTCATAGGAATCCCAAATGTAAACAAAACAGTGTAAAATATAGGACTAAAGACTGGTATATCTGTATTTTATGTCTTTTGCATCAACATTCTTGCATAATTTAATCCAAGAATTACACTAAAGGTTATTTTCTGGTCAAAATGATTGTGGTGAAAAAACAAAAGACTATAAACTCATCTGTCAACACAACAATGACTACCACTGTACAATTTTTAAGGATGCAGTGCACTGTGTAACTATTGTGGTTTGGAGTATTGCACAATTTCTATCTTGTTTTTTGTCCAACTCAAAGTATTAACTAACTCATTTCCTTTCTGTGTTTATTCAAGGATTTTAGATTAGTCGCAACACAAGACGTTAAAAGAATGTCATGTGCCAGAAAGGAAATCTTAAGAGCGTTTTCCTTTAAATTCTTACACAGTTGGAATTTATCTCATTTTCTTATTGAAGTCATTTTCCCACCATAACCACACTCTAACATCTGTGTAAACATGCTACATCTTGTATTTTAAATTTACCAGTTTATAGTCATTTAGGTGGTGATTCACTTCATAATCCACAACTAGAACACTGTAAAATCTCATTTCTCATATGTCAGGATTTAACTGCTGATCTTTTGCAGATGTTTGGCAAAAAGAGCAAAGTCTGATGTTGTCTTGGTTTCCAGTTCATTGTACTTAACCCGATGTTGCCCTAATGTTGTGCTAGGTTTGAAAATATTTAAAATAATATAGTAATTTAGTTGTACTAAGCATAAAAAGCATGAATTATGAATAGCAGAAACAACTGGGGTGTTATGGGAAAGTTTGAAGTTTTTCCATTTCTGTTGGCTTGTGTCCTTGCTCATAATATTACATGGTTAAAAACAGGAGTTTTAGTTCAGTCACGTAAGGCCATGTTCCACAGATTATTCAACGAAACAGTGGTGTTTTTTCAGAAGTATATAAAATACTTTCAGTTCTAAAGAGGCTACAGGTGTTTGTCTTTAGAATACATCCCTCAAAAAACAATTATATTTTATAAGGCAGTGGTAGAAAAGTTACTGATCTGATAAAAAAAAAGAAAAAAAAAAAAGAAATGAAATTACACTATAATTTATACTCTCCAGAGCTCTAACAGTGTCCAGATGTCGGACTACCTAAACCTGAAACCTTTTTTCTGAACCACTCCTGGACTAAAGAGGGATTACATTGTCCCAAAAAATTTGAATTTAAAGAAAAAGTTCTATATTTTTTGTCACTCACTTCAGAAGTCCATATATCATAGACCTGTGACACAGAGTGAAGCTTTCAAGCCTTTATTGACATTTTGATGATTATGGCTTACAGATAATGAAATCTCAGAATTCAGTGTCTCAGAAAATCAGTCAAGTCATGTCTTTTTTTGAGATGTACTACTAGTAGTTAGCAGTTCTAGCAGTTTTTTAAATTTGAACTATGTGGTTGAAAGTCATAACATTTTCACTAGCCCTCTTTGGTAAAGACATACTACTCTATTATATTGAAGTACGTAGAGTAAAAGTAAGTAAAATTTAACAGCTGCATTTACTGTGCATTATCATGTTGGGCATTGTTTTAACAGAAAAGAGGGAGTCACTGTCTGCGTGTGCCCATTTATGTTATGTTACTGAAAAAAAGAGGAATAAAGAAAAAACAAATTTTGTTTAAAGTCAGAGATTTCCCCCTTTTTTTTTTTATTAGTTTGCTCACAGTCTGTTCACATGCAAATACAACACACACTTTGGCCAAATACTGCCATTTATAACACAAAACCTTTACAGAACTTCAGTCTTTTAACCTTAGCCACATTAGCTATATTTAACCATGTAAAAGATATAAAACTGTACAAAACAGTAAATGTAAAAAGATTATTTCTAGGAAT